TCATATCTACAGTGGCTTTCTTTCCACAAAAGATAATGGCCTTTTCATTATCTTTCAAAGTTTTAAGAAATGTGATAACCTATAATAATAAAGTTTGCTGTAACATAGTATATAATATCTGAAAAGCCATAGTATTTTTAATAACTTCTGCTAATTACCTCCTTATCAAACGATAGTTACATACAAAGGACTAGTACAAAAAGAGTTCCAAAAATTTAAAAAAAAAAGCTACATATTATAATTTCATAATAAAGGTTGATATATTTATTTTTTGAAAGATATTTATGTATTTATTGATTGATACTAAGCACATCCAAAGTCCTGTTTATTAAAATTTTGAGCTTCTTTCATTAAAAGGATCTTTACTTAAGAATTATGATAACTGTTCGGGTAAGCCTACGGTTTTCAAAAATCTTAAAGCTGTTCAATAAAACTTGTCAAGAATGAACCTTGATTAAACTTTCAAGACGATTGGTCCAGCCGTTTCATTTGGGATTCGTAGAAAAGTGCAAAAAGTTTTGTCCAAGTTTTCACAAAAAATCTTGAATTTTTTTTTTTTTTTTTAATAAATAATTATATTATGCAATATGTTAATAGACTGCTAACAAAAAATATTTCACAATATTAATTAAAAAATAGTAACAATACCTATCGACGTATCTACTAGGAATCTATGATGTATAATAATAAAAATAACAAAACAAAAAAAGAAAAAAATATCAGTAAAACGTAGCAAAGCAGAGGTATTTAGGTTTAACTGGACTAAATGAGGTCTTGTAGCAATTTTCCATTGAAAACGCTTTGGAAAGATATTTAAGAATCGTGCTGATTAGCTTCAGAGAAATATAGGCCGCGCCGTTTCTCCGTAATTAAATCTTGGTTTATGGTTTGCACGGATTTGGGCACTATAATTATTATAATTACAGATGTAAGTTTGTTTGAAACATAATTGAAAATCTCATTGATTTGTTTTTAGTTGGAGATGTTCTAAACTCTCAAATTAATTGTATTAGAGCAAATCCGTATTATATATCAATAATATATGATAATAATAATGAGTAGTACTGCCCTAGATAGGGTAGTGAGTTGAGTTAAACTCCAACTCCATTCAGGGAAGAATAGTGTGAGAGATTTTCTATTTCCATTTCACAACGCAATGCCTGAAATGGGCTATTTTCAATTGGAAATATATTTTTGATCTACATTTTCAAGTAAAAATGGACATCCCTACTGCACGATATTCACAGAAGGCAACGCAAACTGTTACGTCAATTATATATATATATATATATATATATATATATGTATGTATGTATACTATCTGCCTGACATCTGGATGATATAGACATCAAAGTTGTATTTATTAATGAACATAATTTCTGGAAAAATTTATTGCACAAATGCAAATTGTTAATGTTAATTGTTAGTTAGTTACTTTTACTTACTGCATCAATCTTTTCATCTTCTTGCAATAAAACTATTTCCTGTGTAACACTGGCAACTGGAGTTAAATCTAGAGACCCAACCCGAACCTACAATTTGATAAAAACGCACTAAAAACTTCGTCTTAAACAAATATAATTAGGTCTTACCAGTACAGGATTAGCCATATAGTGCTGTGCAAGATCAGAAATTGCATAAGGCCAAGTAGCACTTGTCATAACTGTTTGTCTTTGTGGTCTTAAATATGAAAGAATTTTTCTTATCTGAGGTTCAAAACCTAAATCTAGCATGCGATCAGCTTCATCCAGGACAAGATATGTCACACCCTCTATATTTATATCTTTAGATTCTAGGAAATCATTCAAACGCCCTGGCGTTGCAACAATTATATGAGCACCCTGGGTGAGGCAATCTCTTTGTTCTTTACGATTCACACCACCATATACACATAAACTGTTGTAACAAAAAAAAATCAAATGTTAAATTGATATATAAATAGAATACAACTGTGTTTATCTTACACTTTTGTTTCTTTATAAGGATATTTTAAAACCTCTGACTCAATTTGCAGAGCTAGTTCTCTGGTTGGAGCCAAAACTAGAACTGATGGCTCATTAGATTTCACAGACTGCCCATGCAAATGCACCAATGCCGGTAAGATGAATGCCAACGTCTTACCTATAAATAATCAAAGTTATTGTCATCTACATTCAATATGACTTAATAAATTGCCAATATAAATACCTGATCCTGTTTGAGAAATTCCTATCATATCTTTACCACTAAGTAAAATTGGCCAACTATGAGCTTGAATAGGGGAGGGCTTTTGAAAACCTTGCCGTTCTATCTGCTGTAACATTTCAGGAAACTGATTAAAGCATTGTGCAAATGTTTGAATAGGATTTGGTATCGGTTCTGCACAACATTCATCTTTGGCTTCAAGGAATGATACAGTTACATTATTCGCTTTAAATATATCTTCAACCTGATAGAAAATACACTGTTAGTTTTTTGTATTAATTATATAAAAACAAAATAATTACCTCTTCAGGACTCAATTGGGTAACTTCTGGGTGTTCCACATAAAAATTCTTAATGACAGGAGGAAATTTAGCCCATTTTTCTTCTGTATACTTTTTCTGAAGTAATAAAAATTAATTAAATAATAAATTAATAAAATTATGTTAAAAATATCAAATAAAAAGTACGAACACTTTTTGCAATTAAGGCGGCCCAGTCAGGAAATTCATCATCATCAGTTCTATTATTCTCTTCAATAGAAACTTCAGCTAATTCTTCAGTAACATGGTCAATAGTTTCAGTAGATTTTTTAGAATCATGATCAAACAACAGTTCATTTATAAGCGCTTCAGCTCTTTCTTGATTTGATTTAGATCCAATCAAAATAATTTCTGTGTCATAAAAATTTTCAACCCCTTTTCCAAAAGAAATGAATATAGGTGTACATCTTTATATTTGCATTATAAAGCAAAATAGTGGCTGAATTAGGAACACATACCTGTCTTTATCATGCACTGACTTGATTTTCTTATATTTTGTATATTACATCCACCCCTTCCTATGAGGCGTCCTAATTTTTTCGAGGGAATCTTTATTATTTTGTCATTATCTTTATGACCACGAGAAATACCTTGAATAGAGAAATACTTACATAATATAAATAGAGTTATGTGAGCTCTGAAAACACCTAAGTATGATAATTATAATGATAATGATCAAAATCATTCAATTAGTTATTTTGACATAATTCTATTTAACATTTCAAGAGTATGAACAATTTGTTTAATATTTCTAACCAAAACATTAAATAAAGGGCAATGAAAATTTGTAGATACACATTCAATAAAAAAAAACTGTTATATGGATCGATTTTAAAACTTTGTAAAAAAATGTTATGCATAGTAATGCAGTATTCTTTACAAAGCAAAAATTAATACAATGTTTAGCAACAGCTACTATTGCAATCAAGCAGTGTACAACAAATTACGTCACTGAATAAATTAAAATTAAATCTCAATACTTGATCTATTGCTGTGTCTATTTGAATGGCTTGAACCAGATGGCTTGGATTGAAATGAAGTAGAATAAGCTGGTCGATTATTGAAACTTGAAACTGGTCTTGGCAGTTCTCTGTGCTGTGATAGTTGCTGCTGTTGTGAGCAATCTTCATCATCCCAGTTTTCTTCATGATCCTGAATGGAACCCGTATCAAACTGTGATGATCGCTGCCGTTGTTGCCAATTATCATTCCTCCAGTTTTCTTTGCAATTCGAAACTGAACCCATTTCAAGCTTTACAGTCTTCACACACTGCGGTAACCAATTTTCTTTTCCTATCAAAGTTTATTAATCGCTTGTGCGAGGTACTATTTTCGTTGAACAGTATAACAAATTAAAAGTGAAGTTACATCTAAAATGATGAAAATCAACTGAACGACTTACAAGTCTACGCTGCACTTTGTATTTCAATTGGTATTTGGTATTTCAATTCTTATTTTCAATGTTCATAATGTGTGTTAACGTCTGTGGATTGAAACACTTAAATTAACGATTATTCTATGAAAAATTTGCAAAAGTTTGAAATTTCAGTTAAGTTTAATTTGAAATCAAAATGGTAAATAGTAAATATAAGATAATCAAACTGTGTTTTGTTTAATACAATCACCACATTACTAATAAATTTTGCAACTTATTACTGTCTGTAGACGAACAATCAGTTAACCCTATAAACACGAGGGAATTGTGAGCGCAGGCCGCAGGGTGACATCTGACAGCCACATCATGCATCAAGAACGAGAACGCTTAATGCTCTTCTTTCATCTATGCGCTAATGCTTATTGAGAACGCGAAGGATTGCGAAGGATTATCGAAAAGACAAAAATCGTTTAAATGAATGAGGTATGTTATTTTCTTTTACTTTTTTACTACTAATTATTAAATACTAAATATATACAACAATTTAGGATACTAATCTTATATATGTGTAGTATATTTGTATAGTATTTGTTATTCAAAAATATGTCTATTTCACTTCAATTTTATGCGTTTTAAAAGTAGGTTAAACGGAAAGATATTTTCAGATTATCATAATAATATTATTTTTATAATATATATATTAATAATAATATTTAAGACTTGCATATTTTATTTAAATAAATTCTTCAGTCTCGTAAATTTAGAATTAATTGCTAATACTGGTGAAATACGATATGATGTAATTTTAAAATTTTTATTTAAACTTAAAAGAGGAAACAACGTATTTTGGTTGATTAATAACGTGTCGAAACAAATCAGTTATTATTTCTCCGTGTTATTGTTTTTGTGTTTTGACACATTTTATTAAAATTTAAAATAAAATTATTTGATTTAAAATATGATTATTTATCTATGAATATGTATTTGTCTTATCTCGGTTTTACTATCAAATCTCTCTCTGCGTATCGATATAATTTACATATTATTTTGTTTTCGTATGTTGGTGAACTACAGTTATTGTGATTATTATTTTTGGCGAAAAAGTGTTGTTTTTTATTTTAGATTTTCAACTGCACGACGAGGCAATTTGATCAATTATTACGTTCAATAATTATTAAAAGTGACAGATAAAATTTCCAAAATGTTTGATTGTACGCAAAGGATTTGTGAAGAAACAAAAAATGACAAGCAACAAGTAATTACATTTAAATGAATACAACCAGTTAAAACTCTATTATTAAAGACAATTTATGAATTTTAGGTTGCTACTTTATATATTTTAGGAACCAGTTATCCTATATTTACAGGCATCAACAATGTTGGCAGAGATACAAGAACGTCTGATATATTTATTGATGATCCGGTATATATTATATGTATTTATATTTTTATATATTATGCCTTTTTAATTATTCACCAATATAATCAATTCCAGACAGTTTCACAGAGCCATGCTGTTATTAGAGTCTATGATCACAGACATGTTATATTGGATCTCCGTTCTACCAATAAAACTATACTTGATTCTGAGGTCTGTTTTTTTGTATTGATTGATATCACTATAATTTTGCCACTTATTAAGTTTTATTTTTGTAGGGTCCACTTTTACCTTATGATCACTATGATTTAAAACATAAATCGACTTTGAAGTTTGGCAATGTTTCTGGGCAGTACTTCTTTGATGAGGTAATGATTTGGATGAGTACAATATATTTTTAATATATAATAATAATAAATGGTAGTCTACCCGAAGACAGGCGCATGGTTTGAGAGCCACCATAAATAAATGATTCCCTTATCCTTTGTCTACCATTCATGATATATATATATATATATATATATATATATATATATATATATATATATAATTATTATTAATAAGGTCTTAATTTGTTTTCTTTCTTTCAAGATGGAATTGGAATCACAGAAACCGCCTATTCAAAATTTTTCACGGCCAGCCAATCCATTAGAAAAAGTCTTGGAATCGAGTACAGATTCTCAAATAAATTTTGATGCAACAGATGTATGACAAAAGTTTTTATCTTCTATTTAGCTTTGATTTACCATATACTATAATTTCAAATGAAATAAGTAATTGATCTCTATTGTCTATGTCTTGATCTTTCTTTCCTTGCTTGGGCTACTCAATATATTTTATTTTTAATTTTTTTTTTAGGATTCTGACCGGTTAGCTATTTCTACTTCGCCTATTTTAGATAGTTCTTTATCTAACAGAAGATTGAAAAGTAGCAGTTCTAGGTCTTTATCACCTAAAACAGTTATTGAACTCTCTGACTCAAAAAGAAATACAAATTCCAATGAGATCAAATTTTCTGATGCTTCAATACATGAAGCAGAAACACAGGTATCAAATATTGCACCTAAAGCAACATGCCAGAAAAATAGTCTGTTAGATAGTTCTGACAGGCTAATATTAAGTGAAACATTACATGATGATAATACATCTTTAAGTGATAAAGAAATGTTTGTGCCTGAAACACAAAATTTTGCTGAGGACACTCCTGTTCTTTATCAATCTGTTGCCGATAGTGAACTTGATGATACAGATCAAATGTCAAAGTCAAATAATACTTGTGATGCTGATTTAAATGAAATAATTAATTATCAAGAAGACAGTAATTCTTCTGTTTATGAGATTGTTTCTTCACAATGCCTATTAAGGTCATTTTCTGATCTTTCAAAGTCAGTAGAGAAAGCAGTGGATAATGATATTATTATTGAGGGAACTAACAATAAATCTGTAAGTGAAATTATTTTTTAAAAAATATGTTGAGCTCTACTTTTTATACATTTCACATTAACAACAGTAATGAACTGTTACACTTTTTTAATATGTTTCTTTTATTGAATCACATTCAAGTAATTCATTTCTTCATATAAGAATAACATTGATAAAATTGATAGGAAATCAAATATGACTTTGTCATTTACCTTAACACTTAACAGACAGGTCGAACCTGTTCCATCCTACATAGTTTCCAGGATTTTTTTAGGAAAGGTAGATATACATGGTTTAAAGCATTGAAACTACAATAAAACTTTAATAATTAATGAAAAAAAAATATTTTTCATAACAGTATTGATTAAAGTGATTAGAATTTTTTTAAACATGTGAATATTATCCTTGAGTTCATTATGTGTTAAATAAATCTGTGAATCATACAACACAATTTTTTGTTGTTAATTGCATAGAAAGAACACTTTCAGAACATTAGACTATTAATGCATATTTTTATCTGCTATACATTTATTTACATTTTTTTAAAAATTGTTTATTAGGATAACGATATAACAGACTGCGAAGATTGTATTGAAAATTCTGATAATGAAGAGACTAAACCAAAGGTACCTGCTGAAAATGATGAACTAGATATTAATAAAAGTATTGAATTTTTGGATAAAGCATCCAAAGATATCGATGAGGGATTGAACATATCAAAAAGTAAGGGAGAGAATGTGAATGGTATAAATATTTCGCCAACAGTTAATATCAGAATCAGTCCAAGCACTACTGTTGTGGACATACATCCCACGGATGCTGAAATTGTTACTGAAAGAAGTGAGAAATTGATTCATACAGAGAAAAGCAAAGACATGACAGAGCAGAACTTGACAGAAATAGATATATCGGATATTTGCACCCAAAAAGTTCCTACTTCAGTATCTGAAAATTTGCAAAAGAAATTGATTCACACAGAGAAAAGCAAAGAAATGATTCATGACTTGTCAGATGCTTGCACTCAAAAAATTCCCACTTCGATATCTGAAAGTTTGCAAAAAAACAATGCGGCTACAAGTCTTGTAAACAATGAAGACAAAGAAGATTGTGCTATGAAAGATGAAAGATTTGTTGTAGATAAGCAAATAGAAGTAGACATATCTGATGCATGCACACAGATTATACCAATCTCTAATGATAGCGGAAATAAATATTCTGATAAAAATAAGTTTACAGATATTTCTGATCAATGCACTCAAAAACTTCCTACCCCGATTTGTAGAGTTTCTCAACGGAAAAAAAAATTGCCTGCAAAACTTGTTGATCATGATGAAGTGTGGAATATGCCAACACAAAAACTTGATAGTTCAAAAAAATCCAGTTCCAAATCTGAATTGGATTCAAATATCAGTGATACATTTAATCAGCCTACTAAATTAACACATGATATTTCTGATATGCCTACACAAATTATTACAGCTCCTGTACCTGAAGTAATCAACGCAAATCAAGATTCTACAGTTAAGAGCAATGTCAGAAAAACTCGTAATTCCAGGAAAAATCATGTTCAGAAACCAGATGAAAACCGGTCAACAGAAGTAAACAGTAAGTCTTGTAAAGGTGGTATTAACAAATATAATAAGAGTATTTCTTCTAAAGATGAAATTGATAAATGTGAATCTGAGCTAAAAATGTCTGAAGACAGTATTTGTGACCAAACTACAATCATGCTTCCGCGATCGAGTATTAGTGCTCGGTCTTCTCCACAAATATGTGAAAATATTAATTTGGATACCAATAAAATTCTAATAAGTGAAGCATCAGAATCTTTTAATATAACCTCAATCAGTGAAATAGCAAGTGATGCAAAATCCAATTGCTTTAGTAAGAAACCTCATGCATCATCTTACATCAGTAGCACTCCTATGGTTTCCAACAAAAAATTTAACAACAATGGAAGTGATGAATCCTTAAATCTGATTAAAAATAAAACGTATGACACTATTGTTTCACATCGTAGTATAAGTGATGAAAGCATAGAAGACTCTGAGGCTGAACTTATGGCAGAAAATTCTATGAAAATTGATGCAGAAAAAATTCGTTCTGCGATACAACCTCAGCAGATTTTTGGAGATAGTTCCGATAATGAGAATAAGAGAGAGAATGAAGAAGAATTATCTATTGCTAAAAATAAACAGCCCAAAAAACGAAAAGTATTGAATGAAAAAAGTGCTCGCAATTCACAGAAAAAAAAGAAGGGTAAAAACTTGAGCAATTTGTTTGGTGATACGGAAGATGATACAGATGAAGCAATGGGCTCTCCTGTAAGGAAAACAAAGAAGTATACTAGAAATGTTAAAAAACTAGACAAAAAGAAAATTAAAGATTTATCAAGCACTGAAATACCAGACAAAAATTCAAAAAAGGTATCTGAATATCTTAAAAGTACTGAAGTGGATGCTGATTCTTCATTTTATAAGGAGCTAAGTAATAGTAAAGCAAACTCATCAAGGAATATACAGGATGATGCAGTGACTACATCTACTGCAAATACTAAAATAGGACATAAAAGTCAGGAACTTGTACCAAAAGTTGTATTAAGTTCTTTGAACAATATAGATTCAGAAAGTGATAAAACTTTATTCATAGATCGAGGATCAGTGAATCCAGTTGAGAACAAAACGTCAAAGGTAGACTTGCAATGTTTTAAGCAATACAAAATATGGCATTTATATATTGTTGTTTCTAGGTAAAAACTGCTACTAAGATCATGGATTCTGAAAGCCTGGAAAATTTGGATGCAAAGCGAAGAAAAAGTAGCAGAAAACAAGTTTCTGGCAAACTGGAAACGCAAACGTCTAGTAGCCCAGCTATTTCTAAAAAGGTTAATATTATATTTTGATATATATAGATAGCACTATTACAAATGAATATAGAAATACACTAATCTATTACTATGATACCTATATTGTTATAATTCATAGATTTAAAGTATTATTGAGAGTATATATAAAATACTATCAATTTCACTGGTAAAAAAAGAATTATTTAAATTAAACATGTACTTCTAGGAAGAATGTATTAACATAGGCATGCTTAATTAAACTTCAAATATAGAATTTATGTTTAAATTTTTCAAAATTTATTTTGCTTATTACTTATTACTTTCAAATTCTAATGCTTATTACTTTTTTTTATCAATTTTTAGAAGGATGAAGAAATAATTTTACTCGAAGAAAATTTGAAAGAAGAAAAACTGTCAGGAGCATCACAAAGGAAGAGTGCCAGACAACAAACAGTTAATAATTCTAGTCCAGTTATCTCCAAAATGGTGAATAAATACTATATACATATATATTTATATAGATATATATATATATATATATATATATATATATATATATATATATATATATAACACCTGTAATTAAGTATTATTACGTTAAGTTTATCTTATAACTTGCCTTTCTATTAATGCGTTCTCATCACTTTATTCACTTATTTATTTTACAATTAAATTTTTACAGAAGAAAGACGATATTAATTTGGATAGATCAAAATCTGAAGATGTAAACAGCACTTCGGGTATAAACATAAGGAAAAGCAGCAGGAAAGTGAAAAATATTCAAAATGAGTCACAGCATTCTTCAAAATCTAGTATTTCAAAGGTTAGTTTTGCACATTTGTATTTCTTGTATTTATATATTCTACATAAGTATTTACTCTTTTTCAGAAAAGAAATGAATTAAATTTGGAAGAGAAATCAGAAAGTTCCGGAGTTTGTACAAATACTAACCTAAGATATAACAATAAAAAACATAAAACTGATAAATTAGAGTCACAAACTCCTACGAGCCCAATAATTTCCAAAAATGTTGGTATAATTATTATTAGTATATATATATTTTCTATGATTTTATTTTTCTGAAATTGATAGCCTTTTTTATTACAAAAGAATAAAAAAAAAACAATAAATTTTTTTTGGCCTCTTCTTCGGAAACCTTCAAAGACTGAAATTTAAAAAACTACATACACTATAAAAACATATATACACACTCACATTAAAAATTGTAATTGATTTTATTTTGAGATATAGGTTGCTAAGGGATTCAGAAAAATTATGTTATATAGCTAATCTAGAACAACAATAGGGTGGTGTTTAATATGGACATTTTCGAATTTCCTTACTCCCAAGGGCTCAAATGTTTCCAAATTGATAAAAAACAATTCTCTGAAAGTTATAGCTCTTAATATTAACTTTTAGATAGAGTGCAATTTAATCAAAGTTTTGTATGTAATTAGCATGAAAATATTTCAAAAATTTTCAAAATGCCTTTTAGATATAACTTAGCGATAAATGAATCAAAAATGACAATTTATGTCACACTAAGTTATATCTAAAAAATATTTTTAAAATTTCTGAAATTGAATTGCGCTCTATCTAAAAGTTGATATTAAGAGCTACAACTTTTAGAGATTTTTTTTTATCAATTTGGAACCATTTGAGCTCCTGGGAGCAAGGAAAATTTGAAAATGTCCATATTAAGGACCACTTTAATATATATTTATGTTTAATATATATATATATATATATATATATATATATATATATATATATATATTAAATTCCATATATTATAGAAAACAAGTGACATTGATTCAGTTCTGGAATGTTCTAAAAATGTAGAAGTTTCTACTACAAATCAAAGAAAAAGCAGTCGAAAGCGAATGCCCAGCATTCATGTATCGGACAATAAATTTGTGAGTGTAAATCTAAAAGTCTAAACTCTATTGAAAATCAATCAACCATCCCATTTATTACCCATATATCTATTTTTAGCTTCAAAGTATTTCTCTCAAAGCGGATCACTTAGAAAATTCTAATACTAGTTATCAAAGGCAAACCAAAAGACAATTGTCCCATAGTAGAGAATCAGAAAATTCTGATGTTGAAAATGCTTGTAAAAAGGTAATTTTGTTCATTTATATAATTTAATTCTTACCTTATACGTTTTTTTTTTTTTAGAAGAAGGAAAATGAACATATAGACCCAAAGCAAGTTTCAAAATCTAATACTTCATCCAGTATTTCAGAAAAGAGTGGTAGTAATTTTAAAATTTTAATAACTTCAGTAAGCGATGATACCTTGCCTGATCTTATAACTAAATTAGGTTTGTCAGTATTATTATTTTAAAAATATTATATTATTCTTAATTTTTTTAACATATTACAGGAGGAATCATTGTTGAGAATCATAATCAATGTACCGTTTTGATAGCTCCTCGTATAATTAGAACAGTTAAGTTTTTATGTTGTCTTGCAAAAGGAATACCCATTGTATCGGTAGACTGGTTGATTCAGTCTTCGAAAGTACATAAATTTTTAGGTAATTTTATGATAACTAAGTATTTGAAGAAATACTAAATTTAAGTTTAAGTTATCATTGAGTTATCATTTTGCAGATCCATGGGATTATATAACAAAAGATAAAGCTGGTGAACAAAAATACAAATTTAATTTGAAAAACGCTTTAAAACGAGCTCAAGGTAGTCCTCTATTAAAGGACTATACAGTTATGGGCACAAAGAGCATTCTCCCGCTGCCACGAGAAACAAAAGGTCAGTAATTAAATTCAAAACTCATGTTGGTAATACCAAGTACTATCTTTATGATATAGATAGTGATAAAAACTTTTTATACACGTGTATGGCATGCTTGGGTATACCCATTCATATTATATATAATATAGACGGATAAATGAGCAATGAGAAATTAACACAATCAATTGCAGATATTGTTGAAAGTTGCGGGGGTACTTTCGTGACAACTAGTCCACGAAGTGGATTTAAAAATCCATCTTTCATTATATCCTGCGAAGAGGATAAAAAGTTTTGGCCTAAGAAAACCGGTAGAAAATATATTCCTCCTATAGTGAAGTCAGAGGCTTTGCTCACAGGAATTTTACATCAGAAATTACATCTTTCTCAACATTTATTAACAGAGTAGGGTGATATACTTTAACAATATTTTGGTAACAGCATCGATAATAATGTGATTTTTGTTATCACCTAAAAGTTTAGACTCAGACTATTTAATGCTTTATAAATAATAACATATTTATTGTTTATTTTTATAGAAATGATTTGTACCTTTTATGTAATATTTTATAATAGATTATTTTTTGAAGAGTTAAATAAATAAATATTTATAAACAAAGTTATAGAAAACTTTTTAATTTGTACTTGCCACAATAAGAATTTTAGTTCATTGGATTACTTCTGATTTTAATATTTCTGTAACATATGAAAAATATTTCAGCTACAATTTTTTTTAATACAAATTTTATTTATATTATAAATTATTTTATATTATAATTTTATTTTATAAACAACAAAATATTTCATATTAAACATTTCAAGCACCTTTCTTTAAATTGTTTTGTCTACTAGTTTTTAACAAGTGTTATGTATATGATGAGCCATTTGTTTACTAGTTTGATAAATATAATGCAATCAATATACAAGCAATTTATGCATTGTTTCGGTTATTATATTCTGCATTGTACTTCGCTGCTTTGAAAGTATTCTTCATCAACATCGCAACCGTCATCGGGCCAACTCCACCTGGCACAGGTGTGATGTACCCAGCAACCTCCTTTGCAGCATCAAAATCAACATCACCGACAAGCTTATTTTTTCCTGTGACTGGGTCCTGTATTCTTGTTATTCCAACATCAATCACAGCTGCACCAGGTTTAATCATGTCCGCTTTAATTAGACCAGGAACACCTGAATATTTAGATTATTTACAAAAAGTGTCAGAAAAAACAGTTACAAAAAGCTTTTTGAAAAAAAAAAGGACTGCTACACAATTTTACTACTGAAGATCTATGGGCTGCATGAGATAAAATAAAGTAGCAGAAAAAACAATTCTTACCGGTTGCTGTGACTACGATGTCAGCAGTTTTACAAAACATGGCCAACTGCTCGGGTGGAGTAAACCTATGACAAATTGTTGTGGTTGCATCCATGGCATGTGTTTCATTCCTACCATCAGCATGAAGGAGCATAGCCATTGGCATTCCAACATTTTTAGAACGACCTACTACAACTGCATTTTTTCCAAATGTCTCTATTCCTGATCTGAACAAAAAATTTTGATATAAGGATTTATTACTTTCTAGTGATAAATCGCCATCAGACATTGTAATATTGTACTCAGGTTAAATTTTTTACTTCATCTCTAAACAAAATGTACCTTTTAATTAACTCTTGCACACCTAATGGTGTACAAGGAATAAATGAATTCATATCTGAACAGAACTTTCCAATATTTTCAACATGAAAGCCATCTACATCTTTTCTTGCACTGACCGCATTACAAATATTTCTTTCATTAATATGTTGGGGCAATGGGAGTTGTATCTAAAATAATACATAAATAATTATAATTATAACAGAAAGAAAAAATGCAGAAATTAGTACAATTCATCACATATGCGTATTCAATACTCAATTGTTTTTACCAATATTCCATCAATACTGTGATCATTGTTCAATTCTTCAATTCTCTGCAGTAACTCATTTTCAGAAATATCAGCTGGAATTTTTATCGTTATGCTATCTATTCCAACATTCTGTGCCGCTTTCATTTTGTTTTTAACATATGTATCACTTGCAGGATCTTCCCCTACTAACACTGCAGTTAATTGAGGTGCTCTGTTTCCAGCATCACACCATTTCAAGATCTCCTTTTTCAGTTCTTCCTGGATTTCATTGGCAATTTTCTTACCATCAATTAACTTTGCCATTTTCCTTTAAAAAAAATGTAAAAGACATTATCTATTAGGAATGCGAAGGGCAACTAATAACGGACACAAATCAACATAATACAGACAGTATTACTATATTGACAATATATGAAATAAAGCTATTTATATTTTATATGTATTCTAGATACATTCTACAAAGAAAAATATTTGTTTAATATTAACAATGAAAAAATGAGGACTCTCACAGTTATGAAATAACCAATATGATATTGCCCATTAATAAAAGAATGATATTTTCACTAGCTTGTTAATAAAATCTAACATCAACAAAACACATATTACAACCTTTATATTCAAAGAAAACTCGAAACAATACTTTTTATCTAAAAGTTCAAGTTCAAATGTTAATCAGTAAATGTTAAATTCAACAGTACTAATGTAAACAGAGTACCTGCCACAACTGGAGTAACATTTGCATAATAAACAAAAAATTCTAAATAAAGCTAAACAGTCTAAACTAATGAACAAGCGGTTAATGTTAAGTTGATTCACAATATGAAGCCAATAATCAGTTCTTACCTTCCGCCCATTCTTCTTTGAGTGGGTGAAGGAGATATACAATTGAAATTTTGACTAGAAATATCTCTCATGGCTATGCTGAAAACTATACTGATCTTTCGTATTGATCGCATTGCCATTTATATGTTTGACATGATTTTTTTTATTTGAAAAAATATCTTATCAATATTTGTAATATTCCATATAAGCATAACGTCATTAACATTAGAGATTCATAGCAGCTGCAATAATAAAAAACATAGGATTCGCGTCAAGCTTGCGCCTTATCGCAAAGCTGCAGAGATGTATTTAAATGGTAGATAATAATCTCCAGAAGATGTACACAATAAAAGAATTATCGATACTTCATTGAAACACACGTTTAACTAGCTTATAAAAATTACCTATTCTTAAATATAAGTGCTGTCAGCTTCAACTCTCATGCGGTCTCATGAATATCAAAATGTGTAATATAACCAAAAAATCCGAGAAGGAATACCTAGGTTTGGATCATTCAGTACTACGTGTCAAATGTCAGTCACTACACTTGCATTAATCGCATTAGCCAAGAAGAAGTCGACCATGAAGGTACGTTTAAAGGAAAACCACAGGAAAAGGAGAAATAAAAGATGTCGTGGTAAACGTATGCTTTTAATTAAAGACATAATACAAATTAGGGAGATAACATATGTTAGATATATACATGCAATAGCATTTTAGTACGTAGTTTTGTGTTAAGATGAGGTTTGGATTGAAGTAAACTTAATTAACTTCCCTTAGTTACCCTACTTTATAGTTATAGTAATCGCATAAAAAACCGAAAATGAAAATTTGTATATATTTTCACGTTTCAGAGGTTTCTGAACATTTTGGCATACCTTGCAAAAAATGGATGTATGTGTGTGTGTGCGGATACAAATTTTCGTCGACGATTTTGGGAAACGGTTCAACTGATTTCAATTATTCAAAAACATTCGATTGCTATTGATAAGGAGACGTGCTGATTAATTTTTGGCAAAGGCAGATCTAGCTGTTTCGAAGATACGGGGCAAAAAGTGCCACAAACGGTAACTCAGTTTTTAGGAGAACGGAGCGTCCGATTTTAATAATTCGAAAAACATTTTATTTGTATTAACAAGATTAAGAACTGATTAAATTTTTGCGAAGGCAGATCTAGTGAAAAAAGTAAAAAAAAGAAACTTGGCGGTCAAAAATGATCATTAGATATAGACACATCAAATTATCAGATATTTTATGGCGATTTTAATAATACGTATAAATTTTATTTACATTTATATGGGTTCCGTAACATCGTTGGTCCGTTAGAGGCGACGCGGCGCTTACGCGCTTCGATATTTCATCTTCATGCAGTTAAAGCATTACGATTGATTTGAAAAAAAGTTCAGAATTT